TCATTCCGCCAGCGCCGACAGACATGCGTCAATGTGATCCACCCCAAGCTTCCACCCTGCATCTGATAGTCTTCTGGCTCCGGGATTTCGTCCGTATGGATATCTATCTCGGAAGCGCCCGAGGCGCACGAACTGTCACCAGGCTCAATGGAAGCCGGCACCTTGACAGACTGCAGATACGCGGCCCTCTCGATTTTGTTGACAGGAGGCATAGGCCGCGCCATTCCTGCCAACTCCGTGAATATCGCCTTCAGAACGGTACCCGGCAGCTCAGGAATAGTGAATGGTTCGTAAGCAGTAAGGGATGCCATGCCGATAGCCAGTTCAGGATCGAAGAGCTTGTCTGCAAACGTTGATATCCAGGTCAGCTTCGCTGGCAAGCCATCAACTTAGCCAAAGACGCACCACAGATCCTTTCGATTGCTCGAGGCTCAACGACCGTTCGCAGTAGAAGGATCCTGTCTTGATGTTTATCGTGAATGGTATGAAAAAGTAAGCCGATGAAGGGTATTCGTCGAGCGCCGCCTGTGGCCCTGGCTGCGAGATCCAAGAAGAGGTCCAAGTCGAGCCGCCCGTCGCGTGGCCAGGCGGCTGCTATCGGGTGAGTCCGAAGTTGATGCGTTCAGACCTAGTCTCGCTCACGCTTCTTGCTCCGCACGACCAGCTGAAAAGAGCCTGTATAGTGGGCGTGCATGATGCACGCTGACTTCCAACGCAAAACATATACCCTTGAACCACCAATGCTGGCAAAACCCACGCACAATCTTGGCGACTATGGGGCGCTAATCTTGATTGTGCACGATGCGCTCATGAGCGTACTACGAGCGTACAGGCTGAAGCTGACTTCACGGTGGACAACGGCGTTTGACCAGGTGCCGTGTGATTCCGTACTAAGACATCCTGGTATACATCCGTCGCAATTTCCTTCGTATTGCACGAGCGACGAACGGCCCCTATTGCCGTGCAGGAGCTCCCGCCGAACCCTACTTGCTCAGCGTTGCCTCCCAAGGTCCCGCTATATCATTGTCGTCGTCGCGCGTTGCTCCCACACACGCAGTCTAGCCGGTACCGGTCAATTTCATCTTGCCGCATTATGTCGCACACACAAACACTCACTTAGCGCGACCGGCAACACCTCCCAAAGATGGTGCATTCAACATGATCGTGTCTCCGCAAGGAGGGCCTGCAGCTTATGCCTGTGACGGTAGCCTCGCAGTCGTGGGAAGCCTTATCGGCCGTTCCCGCTTCCGATGTTGACAAAATTGGTGGATGACGACAGCTCCTTTCCACTGCTCATTCCAACTGGTGGCCTTGTCACCGTGTACCTTCGATATCTGGTCCGGCCCGATACCTTTCGACTAAGACCAACGCCCTTCGAGCTGGTGCCCACCCCCTCGGCCAATATCGACCTGCTTGTGATCGTGTTGCGGTCTGATCGTCACGCTCAACTCCTACCCTCGAATGGGTTCCACAAGAAGCTTTTTTGATACGTGATGCCATAGGCAAACCAAAGGACGACCCGGTGCTGTAGCTATACGCTAGCGGATTGTGAAATCATGGAGGCCGGGGAGGGTGAAGGGGG